AAAAAATGGCGGTTTCCATGGTAAATATTCACCTTTACATAGCCCGCGTGAAATGACCTCCGGTTGACCTTGATGTTAACCTTAACCCTTAAGGATATCAATGTCATAAACTTTTCCCATCGCTCGTTCTGCATTAAAAAATTATTAACAAAAGAAGTTTTATAAATTGAACGTAATCTTTCGACAATATTCTATGTACTTAATGAAAAGAATTTTGAGTAAATTTGTTATAAACGTCAAAGAAACTCCTTGTAATCCTTGCAGTACACATATATGCGCGGGGGAGGGGCTCTGCCCCTCCCCCGCACCCTCTCCCCAAAAAAAACTAACCCTAACCTAACCTAACCTAACCTATCTATTGAAATGTGGTAAATTATACATTCTTATGTTGTTTTTCCTTTAGGTTAGGTTAGGGTTAGTTTTTTAGAGGAGGGGGTGCGGAGCCCCTCCCCCCGCGCATATACGTATACCTTTTTCTTTTAACTTTTCACATAATTACTTCTATATCCAACAAATCTGTTGCACTTATGTAACTTCTTTGCATAACTTTTTAATAAACAATGAGCAACGGCTAATATATAATATAACAATAGTAAGAAGATTAATAATGAAGATTAATAATGAATATCGAGCACGACGAAGCGCGCGAAACATATAAGCGTGCCAAAGACAGGTCTTTTCTGATTCCAGATCATCATTATAAAACTAGCTACCGCTGTTACTTCTCACATCCAATGGAGTTATAAAAATTGGAGTTATAAAAATGTCAAGGTTCATACTCTATAAACACGTATCTTCTATTATACATTATCTTACATACAACACACACTGCATGTGTATATGTATGATACAAGATATGTATATGTATAATAAGTTAAATAAATATGTATAAAGTTTAAAATCTTTATCACTGTTTTTCTCAGAAGTTATTACTTCTATAGTAAAAATGCGTAAAACATAAAATCTATATTTTGAAGAGACTTACAATTTTTACTTGAAACATTTTTTGAAATTTCCAGTATTTGATAAAATAATTGACAAAAATGTTAATTTTTAATTTTTGTTAATAATTTTTTAATGAAGAGCGAGCGACGGGAAAAGTTTATAACTTTAACATCCTTAAGGGTCAAGGTTAACATCAAAGTCAACCGGAGGTCATTTCACGCGGGCTATGTAAAGGTGAATATTTACCAACGATTATTATTCATGTCTATTTATAACTTGTTTTATTCGATAGAAATATTTTTTGTATCAGTTAAATATGACAATCGATGGCATTTGTTAAAGACGTCAACTTTATGAATATCTTGCGACCTTAATATATTGAGTCTGGGAAAAAGTTCGTGGCGTTTTTTTAGTAAAATTCAACTGGTTTTCTTATAGTGTGAAAATGAATTTATTTAAACCAAATATGCTCCATTATTATCGACAATGTTTCGCCATTTTTCGGGTAGAGCCATGATGCCATCGGTGAAGAACTTCTGTGGTTTCTAGTTGAAAAACTGAATCAAGTGGTTTTCACAGGCTTCTTTTGAAACCAGCTTAATTCCATTGAGAGAGTTCTGCAGAGATCGGAACAAGTGATAGTCAGAGAGTTACTATGTCTGGACTATATGGTGAATGCATCAAAACTTCCCAACCAAGCTCTCGCGATTTTTGACGGGTCATCAAAGAAGTGTGTGGTCGGGCGTGTCATGATGGAAGACAACACCTTTCCTATTATTCAATTCGAGCCGTTTTCTTTCAATTGCCTGGCGTAATCTCTCTAGTTGTCCACAGTAGAGTTGAGAATCAATGGTCTGACCAATTGGAAGTAGCTCATGGTGGACGATTCTCTTCCAGTTCCACCACACACACAGCGTCACTTTTTTCGGCATCAATCCTGGCTTCGCGAACGCTTGTGACGGCTCACCATCCCTTGTCCACGATCTTTTACGCTTCCGATTGTCGTACATAATCCATTTTTCATCACCGGTTATGACACCTTTCAGAAATGGCTTGATTTCATTGCGTTTCAGCAGCGCATCGCAGATGTTAATTCGGTCTATCATGTTTTTCGCGCTCAACTCATGAGGAACCCATACATCGAGCTTCTTTTTGTAGCCAGCTTTGTGTAAATGGTTCAAAACAGTTTTGTGGTCAATGCTTAGCTCCATACCAATATCGACACTGCTGATATGCTTATCTTGCTGGACTTTTTCAAGAATTTCATCAGTTTTTTCAGTGATTGGACGACCAAAGCGTGACTCATCTTTCACATCAAAATTACCAGAACGAAAGCGAGCGAATCATTTCCGCGCAGCAGATTTTGATAAAATACCTTCACCGTACACAGCACAAATGTTTTCACAAGCCTGCGCAGCGTTCTTCCCTTTGTCGTAATAATATTGCAAAATATAGCGCAATTTTTCATTACTTTTCTCCATTTTCAAACGCAAACAACTTTCTAACCACTGCACCAATTTCGATGTTTATACACTCAAAGTAACGCTTAAAGTGTCACCTTTCTGTGCGTCGCGCTGCTCGCCATTATAAATCTAAATCCGCTCCGGAGGAAGTTTTCGCGACGCGTATTTCTTAGACAATAAAATGTTATGCAAATCCCGCTGTGTTCTTCGATCGGTTGTGAGCCGAGACATCGGATGTGCGACATAATATTGCCCGAGAAGCGCGATCCCGTTTAATTGCGAAGCTAACACGCGATACTTTGCGCGACGCGTCAAGTTTGTTTTACATCTCGTACGTCTCTTCGCGATTCATTCGTCTAACGAATGGTCGGCGCAAAATATTGATAAGATTAACAAACGGCGATGAAGCGGCCGTTGTTGCGCGAGCGGACTGCAATTGCACGATGAATCAACACAAGCAAGGTGATTTTTATTCAATCAATCGAGCGTTAATTAGATACTCACTAGAATTAATCACGCGTGCGCGCGCGTCAATGAGCCCGATAATGAACGACGCATCAATGCGAAAAATACACCATGAATGATGAAAGATCGCCATGGGATAGCGGAGTGTGCAATTTTATATTGCGATAATCACTGGAATATTGCGCGACGGCAGGAATAAGATTCAAATACAAGCGAGTTACTTCTATTTTATCACGCGGCTAACGAACCAAACATTCGTTACTCTCGCGTTCGGACGGTGACATTCATATCGCGTTGTAACGGAGCGATATCGTTTTATCTGCTCCCTATCGATAAGAGGAGAACGTATTTCTCTATGTTTAATCCATGCGTTACGTCTCTGTCGAACAGTTTTCAATACACTTCTTTTTTTTTTCATTTCTTCTTTAACCAAATAGCATTATCGAATGTCATTTGCTCTCATCGAACGTTATTTGCTCTCATCGAGTGTTTAAGACAATATTAACAACCAAGAGTCGTTTGTTTCAATGTTTGATGAAATATTTTACCGGGAACTTTCGCCGAAGTATTTGAATAACATTACGCAATAATAGCGATTAAAACTATAAATGAAACGGTGTAATTAATTTCGAGCGCATGGATTCGAAATTATCCCGGCAGGAAGTGCGAGTTTCACTAATTGATGATTTAAATCCTTCTTCAGTCAATAACGAACAGAAGAATAACGAATAACCTATAGCGAAAAATGACTCGTCGATCGATGTCGAAAAGTTCAAACCGACATCGTTTCGAGTCGATCGATGAGTTATTTCTCACTAGGGAAATCCCGAAAATCACCCACGCGCCTAACTATAAATTTAAAGCGCGAAAAATTTGAATAACATTAATATACATATATATATATATAACGTTATTTTTTTATTAAGTTTTTTATTCAATTTCTGCGTTGGTAAAACTCCATTTAAGGCCATTCATTTGAAATATCACTTGAAATATTTCCGGCAAAAATTCATGGCAGTAGGGCGTAGGTGATTTTCGGAAGTTCAGCCGGAGGAACGAGGTCTTTCGGCGCCTATGTGAAGTTAATTCGTCACAACAACGCAAATCGTATTTCACTACTTTGCGCTTCGTTTGCCAAAACGCCCAGTTATCAGCGAGACCCGTAGCCTCCCCGAACACTCTACACTTCTCACAGCAGCTTGGTCGCACCGTGTATTTTACTTTGACGATGATTCGCTAGATAGCGCCTCATGCTCCATGATCCGCGTCTTTGAAACATCGACATCGTCACGTTCCAACGATGCAATTCGATTCACTCGCGAGATCCACGCGAGATCGAGCATCGCACGAATTGTTGCGCGAACACGAAACCCGCTCCTTCCCTTTACCCCCCATAAACATTCACATAATCCGAACGACAAACAATATTTGTCCTTGGAGTAATACCGATGCGCCCGCGCTGATAACGCGGTTTATCATCGCCCGCTCCAAATCATACGATGGAACATCGCGATCGCGCGTTATCTGCGATCAATCGCTACTGGATACACTTATCGACCGATAATAGTATGCATCATGATCACGGAGGAGTTAAAATATGACAAAAATTTACGACAAAAGTAACGAATTTACTCGACAGAAGACAACGGTCCGGCTGCTCAAGACGAACGCAACCGTGTCTATTCGGGCTGTTGAAATGAAAGCTGTACAGTTATTTCGAGTCCTTCGCTCCGAATTTGATTCTTCCCTCGACCATATTTCTCTTTCTCTCTTTTGCTCTATGTATCGAGAGAGAAAGAGAGAGAGAGAGAGAGAGAGAGAGAGAGAGAGAGAGAGAGAGAGAGAGAGAGAGAGAGAGAGAGAGAGAGAGAGAGAGAGAGAGAGAGAGAGAGGGAGAGGGAGAGGGAGAGGGACAAAAAGTGCGTTAAACTACGGTTAAATCACGGTCAGCTTTAAACGACGTCGAAAGACCGCTCTTATATTACAGAGGGAAAAATATTCTCTCATTCGAAGAAGAGAGACGAATAACTTTTGTCGGTACACACATTGTGTATCGGGTCTTTTTACCTTCCTTCAGTTCTCTCGCTTCGCTCTGCGTGATCCCGCGTCTCATTCTTTCTCTACTCCGTGCCTCTCCATGCCTCTTCTGACTAACCCCACGTCACGGTGACGTCGCTTTTACCGCCCTCCTGCCGTCGGCCTCGACAACATCCGCATCCTCCTTCGTCGTTCGTCGCGTCGTTCGTTCTCTCTCGTCGTGCGCTGGCAGACAACGCAGCGACGGTTATAAAAGCCACCGCTCACGGCGCGGCGCGCATCAGTCGTTCGGTCGGTTGCGGTGCAGATTAGTGATTGTATTTCAACGAAGGGAGCGATTTCACAAGAGAGACGCAGTGTATACCATACACTTTCACGTGCACGCACGCACGCGCATACACACACACACACACACACGTGCGTGCGCGCGCGCGCTCGAAGCATTGTGACGAAACCGATCGTGAGAAGAAGCATACAGCGCAGATAGAAGAGAGCGAGGCAGGATATATAGTGTGCTGCACTAAGCGCGACGACGACGATCTTCGCGCGTCTCCGAGATCACGCTCGCATGGCATTCGGCGCACCAGGACGGCGGTGGCCTCGTACGCGTGTCGACAGGGCGCTATGAAGTAACACGACGAGAGCACGAGCAGGTCGACGAAGTGGCGGCGACGGCGGCGGCGAAGACGACAACGTCCTGATTCCAAGCGTCCGCGCTCAGTCCTCAGTGTAGGCTAGCCGGTCGCTCGGCGGTCGTTGTCTCAACATCGACATCGCGACACAATAACTATAACCTTCTCAATTCGGCGAACGAATGCTTACACGCGAGCGTACATCGACGACGAAGACCGGTGCTGCACTGGCTACTCCTTCTCTCCACTTGCGTGTAATCTAGACGGCGGCACGCGTCTTCGAGCACGTCGTCGTGATAACATCGTCTTCCACGAGGTGTGCGCGCTGTCCTCAGTCTCGACGACCAGGACTGATCTCGTTGTCGCGCGCGCAGAGACAACGAGGAGGTTAGCCGCGGCGGAGAGCGAACGCTCTCGACTTTCCTCAACGCGGCTTGGACGCGGCACACGGTCGCACGCGTCATCTCCGTCGGCAAAGGCCTCTCCTTTGGGGCTCCTCGACGTTGACAGCAGCAACAGCGCTTGTTAATCGTTGACTCGTGGTGAAAACTCGCGGCGATTTTGACAGGAGGCTTGACGGAACGCGCGACAACAAACATGGCGGCCACGCTGGCGGACGCGTGCATCGACTGCAACTGCACCGACGTGCTCGACATCCTGCACGACGTTTACGAAGGGCTGGACACGACGTGGCCGTGGAACGACATCGACGGGCTCTTCGTTTACCGGCCATGGGTGTTCTCGCTGTTGGGGAGCACCATGGTCGGCCTCACGGGCATCTTTCCCTTGTGGCTCATCCCCATACAAGACGGCGTGGATCTGAAAACCGGCGGTAGGTCGTGTGTTTCTCTATTTATCCTGTCTACCTGCTTCTCGATCTCGCGGTCAAAGTCGCGCTGCGTGTCAATTAGTGACACGACGTGCAGGATTGTTGCCGAATAAAAATACAATCGGATCGATGACGGTCAACACGAGATATCGCGCGGTTGCGAATGGCCGAGTAATTATTCAAGTTTGGGCAAACGCCAAGGGCCGGACAGTCTGAGCCAAAACGCTGACTCTCCGGGAATAGTTCAATGTTTAACGTTCGTCTGTAACTTTGGTAATCACTTCAATGAACTCGCTCAACTGATATTTCGCATTGTTGCTTATTGGCCCGCTTGATTGTTTCTCGCTGGTACGCCTGAGAGCCTCGACAAAAAATATAATTGATTTTGATTTTTGACCCACGGATTTAGAGCCCACGGTAGAAAACTGACTGAAAATTCGCGTGAATGAAGCGTGAAAGTAAGAGCGAAATGAAAAGTAATTGAAATTACAACAGCAATTAGAAGCGAGATCGTCATGTGCAACGCGATCGGAGCAACACATCAATTCAACACCGGTGGAAATCCGGTGGATCAACTCTTCTTCCGGAGCATGACTTTCAGAAAAAAGATAGTTCTTCTTCCGCGCTCCTCAGTTGAATAATTCAATTTCGACTGTCTCGTACAATGATGCGAATGGTGGTTTCTCTTTACTTTGTAATGCGAGAACCGAGCCCATCGTGATTATCTCGCAGCAGATATACTTTTAATCTGTCGTTTCGATTTTATCGCTCGTTGCGCAACTCCATTCTATGAAGACGACGCGTCTCGAGTGGTCAATTTTACCGAGAGACAAAGAAGCATTTCGCGGCGCGAATGAATGTGCTATCTCGTGCTCTCGTCTCGCGTGAAACCGGAATACCGCGACTGCAATGTGCATAATCCGCTCTATATGAATTAGGTATGTGAATTGACTCGAAGAAAAGAGATGCGTATAATCATCAGGAATTTTCTTGTTTGATAGAAAAACGAGCGCGACATCGCGACCGTCCATGTTATTGTTATAATTATCATATGTTTCCATAGTCACGGTCTAACCGGCGCATCCCGGTGGTGTGCAGCAGCGAGAACTCGGTTGCGAGACTAGGTGCATTAATAATGCGCGGCTCCCCTTCTCGCGTCACGAAAATCTCGGGACGCGATGATAACGACGAAAACCGTCGCGCGATTCGCCCGGCTTATCCGCCGGGAAATCGAATCACCGCGCAATAACCGCTCAATGGCCGACCGTTGGCGAAATTGTGAAACCCGATTGCCTTGGCATTGAGAAGCCTGCGTGGCACAGGGGTTCTCAAAGCTGCTCGTTGCTCTTTGTACGCCCGCCACCGATGATGCAAAGCGACGAGAGAGCGCGCTTGAACGGAAGCAAAGAGCGAATCGGATTCTAAATTAAAAACTCTTGGTCCGCGCCTCGTTTGTCCGCGACCGCTTTAATTCGCTCCTCTAAAAACTCTCTCGGCGCAGCGCCCAGAATTCCTCGTTCCTCGATTGCCGCCTTGCCGTGTTTTTCCTCAGACGCAAGTCTGCAATTTTAATGCATTTCGCTCTGCACGGTTTTGTGCTTCTCGCGTAGAATCAGCCGCAGTGCATGCGGAACCAACGTGCGCGACCGAGATGGTTCGCTGTAATGTTGCCATCTTAGCGAATATAATCATTGTTTTTGCGTTGCGTTACGTTGAACGACCATCGTCTTGTCTATTTCCACGACTCGCTCGCCAATTCTCTCTCTCTCTCTCTCTCTCTCTCTCTCTCTCTCTCTCTCTCTCTCTCTCTCTCTCTCTCTCTCTCTCTCTCTCCCTCCCTCCCTCTCCCTCTCTCCCTCTCTCTCTCCCTCTCCCTCTCTCTCCCCCCCTCTCTCTCTCTCCCCCATCTCCCTCTCTCCCCCTCCCATTTCTCTGTCTCCCCCTCCCTCCCTCCTCCTCTCCCCCTCTCTCTCTCTAACTCTCTCTCTCTCTCCCCTCTCTCCCCCGTCTCTCTCTCTCTCTCTCTCTCTCTCTCTCTCTCTCTCTCCCTCTCTCTCTCTCTCTCTCTCTCTCTCTCTCTCTCTCTCTCTCTCTCTAACTCTCTAACTCTCTAACTCTGTTTATCGCTTATAATATTAGAAGTATTATATATGTATATGACCTCCTTGGCCTACTCTCTCTTTCGCTCGGAGGATACAATGAAGATGATCCTGCTCAAGACCAAGCAAATAGCCTTACGGAAACAAGTCCCCGCGAATTCGTGTTCCAGAACTCGCGATTATTATCTTTCTAAATGGATGATGTTTACTCAATTAACGGTGTTCACTGAAGCGTGCACAGTAAAAGAGAGTGGGGGGGGGGGATAGAGAGAGAACCACTTGAAGCAACATCGTGTTTGTTTATAATTGACTCATGCCTTCTACTCGACAGTACGTAGCGTCGAGAGACAGATCGATTTTGATTGCTTCGACAATATTTTTCGCGCAACGACAACCAAGTTTTATTTTTAAACCCGACTTTTGTCTCCCTCGTTGCTGAATTTCAGAGCTGAGCCTTTGCCGTGGTGTGTCAACTTTTTTTTTATCACCGTGGTGTGATAAAGAGATGAGTCACTTGTGGTTTAAAAAATATTCAACAAGTCTCAATTATTTCTCGGAGTTGTCACGATGCGCGATATAGGAAAAAATTTAAATATAACGACGTTAAATGCAATGCTTTCTCGTAAAATGAGCAGAAATCTTGCGTCTCGTTATATACTTGCAATGTCGCCATGAACTATATAAAAAATACATGTATATACATACATACATTTATATAGACATTTATACGGTGTTTTTATAAACATGCTGTTGACCTGATGGCGTGCAAAAGCCGAGGTCGTATTATACGTGCTCTACATCGAAAAAAAATCAAGCAGCTTACATAATCGCGCGATACTTCGCGTAAACGCCGTAAAAAAGCAAAACGTAGCAAGCACGAAGAATAAACACGATTTTTTAATCGCGACGGTTTTTCACTCCCGCAATGCTATCAATTTTCGCGTCAACGCGAGGCAGCTCCTTCTCCCTTCGATTGTAACAATTCACAGGAAATTCATGTTAACGAGTCAGTCTCAACGAAAACACAAAGATCGCGTCCCCTAGAATATATTTCACCGAACGCGCGCGCGCGTTTGCTCCTTCCTTTCTTCTCTTTGAAACGTAAGCTCGTTTTACATCGTTCAATTTGAGAACCCGAAGAAAGGAAACACACGAAAAACCGCGAACGTGTTTTCTCGCCGCGTTGGACATTCGCGAGCTGCAAAGTCACAGGACACTCGTCTGTTGGTTTTCGAGCGCGACGAGGCATATATTATACACCCAAAAAAAGTAATTTCAGAACAAGCGGAATCATCTATATTTTAATTCTTATACATGGTCTTAAGAGGATTCCTCTAAGATTAAGAGGAAAATATTATAAACACATTATTCTTAAAGTTAGGGGGATTATATGTTATATATATAATGCCAATCTTATTGATTTTAATATGAATTTCCTCTTGTACACAGACTATTTAATCTCTTTTTAAAAGGATTATTATTTATTCTTACTGGTTATATATTAGTTATTTTGAAACAATTACCGTAATGTATAGCTAAAAGTAACATATTCTATAAACATAGATGTACTTCTGATATCAGTTCTACAATAAGGTACAAATGAAATAAGAACATCATAACAAACAAATCTCCAGTCAGTTTTGTTATGGACTTCATAGCTATAAAGATGTTTATCATAAGTAATTATATGAAATATAGTTAAACATCGTTAAGAGAAATTCATTATGGACTTCATAGCTACAAAGATGTTTATCATAACCAATTATGAAACATAGTTAAGAGAAAGAATATATTATTCAACTTCTTGCAGTAGATTATAAACTGTGTTTGACCAAATATTGGTAAATTATATTCGTTATATATTACAGCAACACATATACCTTTTTTAAGAAGCGTTCCACATATTCTGACCCATGAGCATATGATTATTTTTTTTGTATCAGTAGAGCATGACTGAACGAAAGAAGTCGACATTCAAATCAATAGATTCATTCTTCATATAAGAGAAAAATTAATTGATATAAGAGGGAATCTTCTTGAAATAAGAGGAAAATAGGACATCTAATAAATTTTAGATGAATGATTCACTTTAATCGAAAGAGTCCTTTTTCTGTAAAAGGCTTCGCTTAGAATATGAAACTACGGAAAAAATTACTTTACAAATAGAATACTTTTTTTTTGGGTGCACTTTATGCTTTTCTTGTGTGCGATTGAGTATCACCCGATAGAGCCGAATGCACGCGCACTCGCTTAAAAACAGATCGTCCGGCCATGTGCAGCGGATCTACTAACTGCGCACGAGATAATTGGAAGGCTGTCGACGGTGACAGTTGCCAACAAGACGTTGTTGCCGGCGCGTTGTAACGATATCTTACTGCGAATCGCGAGCTGCATATCGTACGCGAAAAAAATGGCGCAATTCCGTTAAAAAGCATTATTAATTAATGACCACCATGTATTCGTTGTACAAAGAACAGTGTGGTAATACTGGCACAAAGTAGCGATTATAATTAACGATATGCGCATATATTAAAGCCATAGTAAAGTCACAGTGGGAGAAACTGGATCAAGACGAGCAAAGCTTGTGTTTTTTTTTGTGTATTTCACTTGTGATGATGATAACGTTTATTTTATTGCAAGCCGTATTCCAAAACAGATACTTGTCAGTGCCTAGCAAATTTATGTGTTATAATCGCTCGCTCGAAGGCCGAACAAAAGGCAAGGCGGCGGCTTTGTGCAGCTGGTACTGACTCTCTTGCCTTGTTATACCTAAAAATATATTTAAAGACTAAAACTTGAAGCTACATCTAGCTTGAAACTTGGGAATTTACATTGCACGCAATATACATGTATTCATTATAAGAGAAACGCTGGAAAAGGAATTGCAGAATGTGCTTTTAGGAG